GAAAAAGAAACGGGCAAGAAAGACCTTGTCCTCATCAAGCCTCCTGGAATGGACGGTAGACACTGTATTCTAGTGGGAATGTCCACACCTCCTAGGTGCCATTACACTGGTTATTCCAGCTCTGGCGTTCTCTCCCAAAATCAGGTGCCCATGCTTTGAACAAAGCACAGTGAAAACTCAATTAAGTTTCCAAAATCTTTTTGATGAGGTTTATTTCCTGTCCTTTGTGATTGCAAGTGAGACAACACTGTGAAAGTAGTTTTGAAGTTTTTCCTGGGGTCTCCCACCAAAACACTGGCTTATGACAGTTCCATAATTTCCTCCTTAATACCAGACCTCGTATTTGCCCACAAAGAAACTCACCTGCAAATCTTCTGATGACTAACATGTCCCATTACGGTTTCCCTGGAGCAGTTCCCCACTGGTTAGTTATTTCATAATTCACAAGAGCTTACTGTCATCTGTACACTTAGAAATTCCACTGTGGGCTCCTTCTTTTGGAGCAATTATGTAAATAAGACCCAAGGGACTTCGCTGTTTACACACCTCTAAGCAGAAGGGAAATCTTTATCCTTAGAAATCTTTATTTGTGGTCTTTAAGGACGATGGAGTAAAATGCTTGCTCTGTCACTACACCTGTAAGCTGCGGCTAATCATGTCACCTCCCTGTGCCTTGGTTTTCTCATCTCTAAAGTTCAAGTGTTGATTTAATCCCTGACATCTATACAATTCTATCTCCCTATTCAAAATGACACACTGCATCCTTAATCCCAAGGTGACTTCAACTCTGATACAACCTTTCAAAGTATAAAAGAACTTCCAAATATTTTCTCTCTCAAAAATCTCATATGTTCAAAAAACATCCCTTCTTCTCATAGTAAATCCTTCTTTGCCAGAGGATACAGACAGGTCTCCCACGTGGACCGGTACAGCAGTGAGAGCAGGACGACAGACACACACGCCAGCAAGGCATCAGGACACAACAAACATCCTTCACAAAGAGTCTGTACGTGTTGCCTCTGAGATCTGGAATTTGGTCTAGCACTCTCACACTGGACGGCTGCCACCCAAACCAAGTAGTTTATTTAAATCTAGTTTGTTGGAGGAATCTAGAACATTTGGAGAACCTGGCACTGAGTCACCTAGGATGTCTGACCTGCTTGCTTCAAAGGACATCTCAGAGTGGTAATTTCCTAATGTCTCCTCAGTGAAATCTGATAAGTAAGAAATTACACCAATGACAAGCTACAGCCTTTTTCTGGGAAAATAACTTGTTTCTATGCCCCAATCCTCTCTCCTTCTCCAAATGTAAAGCTGTCACTAATTAAGTATTTTGGGCATACCATCTAAAAGGAAAAAAAAAGCTTAGCCTGAGTGGGAACCCAATCTGTATGTGGTTTTTGCCAGTACCAGTATCCTGTTTACCTCTTCGAAAATTTCAAGAGCAACTCTGATCCCACGAGCTTCACAGATTTGCACAGAACATTAAAAGTTCTCTACTATATGTCTTAAGAGAATTACAAGACCCCCAAAAATGGAGTACAGCTTTCAGAAGCTTGCAACAGACTCAAATCATTTGAGAAGGGCATCTCAGGTGTAAACATTAGTAAGAACTAAAAGCAATGTAGCTTGGCCATGAACTCAGATTTGCCAGAAGCCCCTAAACTAAGGGCTGGAATTCACTTCTATCACTCAGCACCCCAGCTCTCAAACAGGAGCAGCAATGACAAACTACTAGGTTTCCTGTAGTATTAATACCAGTCAACAAAGCTTTGGGCAAAGTCATCTTCTACTCCTTTCTCATATGATTAGAAAACAAAATCAAAACCTTAAAATCTCAAAAGGTCTGAAGAAGGAACCAAAATAAACGGCAGCACCGAACAGGGACCAAAACAAACCAAGACTTCCACTCAACTCCTCACACACACAAATCTGCCCAATGAATATAGGATGGAGCAACTCATCAACCAATATCTGGGAGTTCTGACTATCTAGAATGTATACATGAGTCTGTGCTACACTGCTTTTTATTTTTTTCAAGGGCAGTACTAACCCTAACCCTAAACTGTAGTAAGTAGATGCCTATGCTTTGATGTCATGAAAAGAGCTGTCCTACTGTGCTGGTGGCTGACCGAATCACACCTCAATTATTCAATTGTTCAAGTCCAGACACCCCTTACTCTCCATGAGATGCTGACAGACTGAGAAGACACCTAGAAACCACATACCATGCAGGACTGTGAAAAGAGTTGGGATGATTTTGCACCGAGAAAAAGTTCATCGTGTGGAAACATCATCCTGTTTTTGTGCACTGAAATGGCTGTGCTGTGGAAGTGGGTAGTTCCAGAGGAACAGAATCAATGGAATGAACTTTCAAGGAGGCAGTCTTCAGCTCAAACCATCACCATACACATGGGTCAAAGGTACAATGGCATGCCTTCAAAAGTACAGCAGGTCCTCGAATGACATGGTTTTATTCAAAGTTGTTTCACTGGAACACTGATGAGATGCTGTACGAACTTAAAAGTCTTGTTGATATCATTTAGTCTATGGTAAAAACAATCCCCATCATATTATCGTCTCACTTAAAGTTGCAGAACCCATTGAAGATATTAAGTGAGGACATTTAACAGAATTCCCTGTTCCTTGGGAATTTAAACAGAGGCTGCCTAGCAAGTGTAAAAATGTACTCAAGTTAGACTAGGGCCTCTCTAAAATTCTAGTTTCCCATTTGCTCAATATTATACTGCCCTGCTAGGGCATCTGCTATGATCTCAAAAATGCCCTCTTCTCATTAGGATCTGCCTAGAGCCTAATCACATCGGGCCTGAGCACGGCAAAAGTCTCCTAGACTGGCTTTCTAACCTCAATGTCTTTCCCCACATGTCAAGAACCATCTTCTTTTCAAGGCCTATTCAGAGATGTAACTTGACTTCACAAGTGGCCTTTATGTGCACTGACTTGAGCAGGGTTTCTTCACCCTGGAGCTACTGGCACTTTAGACAGGATAATTCTTTGTGAGGGGCAATAAGCTGGGCATTGCAAGATATTCAGCAGGATTCCTGGCCTCTACCCACTAGATGTCAGTAGCACCTGCCTCCAGCTCTGACAAGCAAGTATGTCTTCAGACATCACCAAATGTCTGCTGGGAGGCAAAACCACACCCTGCTGAGAACCACTCTTCTTGAGGCAAATGATTAACACCACTGTCTAGTGGTTCAAGTTTTCCACTAACTAGATTCTCTCTACCTTCCTTCATCCGTTTTGTTCTCTCCTCCAGCCAGGCAAACCTATTTACTATTTTTGACCTATGAAAACCTCAAAGTTTCCCCTAATTTGTGTTCCTGCCTGCTTCTCCAACACACACAGCAATTCCATCTGGCTCCAAACACCATTTGTACTTCAGTACTCTTTGACCTCCTAGACAAATGCAATTGTTCCCTTCCGGTGCACCTGTCTTACCTACCCTTGTTTGAGAATCCTCTCCTTCCTTTTTAAGTGATCACAGCATCCACTCTGATCCTCTGCTTACTGCTGGTACTCAATAAATACTGAGTTATTTCTTAGAATGTCAAACAGCAGCTCCAATTAAAGATGAAAAAATGTGAAATCCCTTACCAAATACCATTTTAAGAACATGTGATCATGAGTACACAGTTTTGATAAAACTTTACTTTTTCATAGCCAGTCCCAATTTACCTACGGTATTGAGATTTAACCAAGTATAATCTCCAAAATACAGCTACCAAACAAGTTACTATTAACAAATACATCAAAATTTTCTAAACTTAATCAAAAAGCACTGCACAATATCAAAGTTAAGAAAAAAAGCCTAGTTTTGACCAAGGTGTAGTTTTCTTTAAAAATTCTGTAAACCTTGACAGGGAGAAAAAGATACAAATATGGCTCAATACTTTCAATGTTTCATCATGCCTACTCAACATTGCAATGGGACACACAGGGGGACAAGGTCACCTAAGGACAGTTTCCTCTCCAACCTCGTAAGACGTTAAGTTTTAATCAACAAAGTACACATGCATATATTTCAATATAAAGGAGACACATCTAAGACAGAATGTTCAAATATATAAATAAATCATGCCAATTCAAGATTCTGAATTTTTTCCCCTAGCTTCATGGACTACCTAATCATTTTATGGGAGGCTCCTAAATAACCGAGAGAGAAACCAAACACTCCAAATCAACTTGGCCAAATTCGCATTTTAACTGCCTAATTTTCATCTTAGGATCTTTCTTATATTGCTCTTGAATTTTAATGTTAAGAACAGGAGAGGCAACAACTCTAATCCTGTCCTAGCTAGTGGGTAGGTGTTCAGTCAGGATTTATAAACTATAAACAAATGCTTTATGAAGACCCCATTAACTGGTTATGGTCCAGAATTCTTCCCACGGGTTTGTAAGAAGCCGAGGCCCCAGCAGCTTTGGCGGGGAAAGTCTGAATCACTGTCATTCTTGGCACTTGGAAGTGCCCTTTGGTTGTTTATGAGGTAACGAGCGCTCACCATTACTGCGAACAGGAATTCCCAACCCGTCCCAGACTCTTCCAACGCCAAGCACGGAACACTTAATAGGTGGTCAGTAAAAGCTGCCTGAATGGAATGTTATTATTGAAGGGGATAAGGGCCGTTTCCAGAGATTAGCTATCTCTTTACTACTGTATCTCTTTCAAAATACGTCCTAATAGGCTCCCCCCCAACAAGAAATATTTTTCAAAGTCAAGGAGGAAAGGAAAAAAATCTGCAAAGCTGAAGGAGCCATGTATGAACCCAAGTGGTTCACGCGGGGTCCACCGACAGCTAGGACTCCCCAACACCTATTCTCCAGCTCTTTGCTTACCTCCTGAGTGATCGCCCTCTCCCCGCTTTGTGCTTCCCTTTCTGAGAACCCTACCTTCCTACCTTCCCACCTTCGGCCACACGCCCCAACTGTGTACCAGGTGGGACCCCACATCCCGCATCCCCTCTCCAACAGGGACCTACCTCTCTCTCCTCCCTCGACCTGTAGCAGCTTTTCTTCACTGTGGCAGGCGTTTTTAAGAAACCAAAACCTTATTTCTTCATCCGTAAGAGATACCCCAAATAAAGGATCCCTGAAAGAGGAAAGCCCCTATCAACCCTCGAGTAAGCGAAGGTGACAGTTCGCTGGCCGACCATCCCCAGTCCTACTCCTTTCCAAGCCCCTGAACAAGATTCGAGCAGAAGTCCCGCTCCCAAGTGCCCACGCTTCCAAACAAGCTGGAAGCGGATTATACCGGTACCCAACCCGGAGACAGCCCTCGGCGGGTTGGGTGCACCTGCACGCCCCCGGTTCCCTCCTCCCGGCGCCGGGGGCGGGGCGCGGCCCTCACGTTCCCGTTCGGCTCCCCCACCGTGGGAGACCACGGGGGGAAATGTTTTCTGGAGAAGTTAAGGGCTCACCTTCTGGGCACCCGGCCAGCAAGGCCAGACACCAGACACCCACCTCCAGGAGGAACCAGCGGAGCCGCACCCTGGTCTGCCCGCCCTTCCGACAGGGAGGAGGGAGGCAAGAGAAGGGAGCGCGCGCGAGGGGGAGCCGGAGGGAGGAGGCACGGCCTCCCTTCCCGCAGGGCCCACCGCCTGCGGCCCAGGCGTCCTGCGCTCAAATTGTCCAAAGCAGAACAACCTTCCGGGCCCAAGGCGTCATCCGCGGGAGCACTACCCGGCCCCGCTCGCCATCCGCTACGCCCCTTTCCGCCCCCTCGCTGAGAGTTCGCGGCAGCAGCCTCCGCTGGGGCCGCGGCTTCCCGGGGAAGGACGCCTGCGTGGCGCCGGTGCGCTCTGGCTCAGACGCGGCTCCCACCTGCGCAGCACCGGCCCCTGCCCCGGAGAGGTGCGCACCCACCTTGGGGGGCAGCCCAGGCAGCTCGGCCGCCGAGCCACGGCTTATGCTGAGGCGGGAGGTGGCGGCATCACCTGCGGCGGGCGGCGGCTGCACCGGGACGCAGCGGGGCGGCGGAGGCGCGCGGCGCCCTGGACCCTGCTCCCGCGGCCCCGCCCGCGGCGGCCACCTCGAAGCGCGGCGGAGGAGCCCGGGCACCTCGGGCGGCGGCAGCGGCGGCGACCGGAGCAGCAGCACATGACTCTGTAACGAGGGGAATTAGACAAAGCGTAACATGGACTCCAGGTCCGTGCAGGCGCTGCTGCTCCGGGACCAACCGCAGCCGGCGAGCTCCGCGACTGGTTCGGCCGCAGCCAATGGGGCGGGCCCGGGCCTCCATGTGATTGCGAGCGCTTTCTTCTGGTTGCGCCGCCGCTCGCCGAGGGTCGGGGCGCTTCCGCAGCCCAGCGGGCGTGCGGACCCGACCTGGGTGCGGGGTGGGTTAGGGTGCCCAGGATCGGCGATGGGCGGCCAGAGGCTGCTCGACACCGAGCAGGTGCATAGGGCGGGGAAGAGCGGCAGCCTTGATCTTTGTCGCCGAAATACTGTCGAACTCCCACCTGGGTAGGACGTGGTGCCTGACAGCCGCTGTGTCGGGGGGAACGAGAAAAGGTCAAGAACATTCGCCTTTCGTAGGTTTATCTGTTGACTAAAACTCTAATATTAAGACTTGGGGAGAAATGCAATGAAATAGGGGGAAATTTGAGTAAAGTCATGTAAGCGGCTCCAACACTAAGGAGAAAGTACTTACCTAGGATTTGGGGCACACACAACTTTATCTTGGCACTAATAGCTTCCCAGCCTCGTTTGTTCTGCCTCTGCTATTAAAGACGTATTGGAGGGTCAGTTCTTCTTGTAATCTGAGTTTACTCTTTTTTTCCTCATTCCTTTTTGCCAAAAATGTCCTGCGTCTGAAGGAGGCAGATGAAGAGGTTGACCTCTGCTAAGAGGTGTTTTCCAACCTGATAGTTTTCCTTCTTGTTTTTGTTGTAAGATCAAAGTACGCATATTTGAAGCCTTTTCCGTGGCTGGGGAGGAGCATGAGTCAAGAAATAAAGTCAAGAGTGATGTTTGGAATTGTTGGGTTTCAGCAATTTAACAAGACAAATGGTTTCAGCCCAATACTTCGATATCTCCTTCTACCTGAATCTCCCCTTTTCTGTGAACAATGGGAAGTCTCACCTCTCCTACCAAATTCTCTCCATGTCAGCTAGTGTTCAATCAACTCAGCACCTAAAATGTTCTTCATAAGCATGCTGCACAAAATGTTAACATGTCCTCAGGAAGGTGTGGGTTCAGATGTAGTGAGGCATCCCAAAGAGTGGTGTTCTAGGGTGTCAGGAAAGGCTTCAGAGAGAAGGGGTGGTAGAACTGCCCCTTGGGTGGTGAGCACTTGTTCCTCAGACGCTGGAAGTGAAGGGGAGCAGTCCTGACAGGGAGGAGTGCGAGCAGAGCAGACCACAGAGGCTGTCCTAGACCAGTTACAAGATGCCATTAGGCTTTGAGCCCTCCTGACCTCTAGCTTTCTCACTATTCCTTGCCCCTCGTGCCAGCGTCCTCTCCTATTCCATACACCCAGCCAAGAAGGAGGTGTGTGGGCAGGAGCTGTGTACCAAGTGATCTAATCACAGCACCACATTTGTTCAACTGTGAGGTTAGAGCCATTTTAAAACTATCATCCAGTGGTGTGATATTTTGATTAAAAACATCTTACTATTACAATTCATTTGGAATGTTTGCTGTCTATAAAAACACTTTCATATTTTGATCTTCCCTAGGTTTTAAACTATGGTTCTGGATTTCAGAGAAATGTGTTTTCAAGATACTTATAAATCAAGAAAAGAAAAAGTAATACTCTGGAAACAAATGTGGAGAAACAGGCATTCTCATATACTATGAGTGTTGAGCATGAATTGGATAAATTCTTTTGGAGGACATTTTGGCAATTTTGATAAAATACATATATGTGCTCTTTGGCTAGGTAGTTCTCTATCTAGGAAGTTATACTTTGAACATGTTTTTGCCAAATATATGTATTTCAGTAATACAGCTATGTACAAGAATATATGTCAAGGTATGTTTATTGCAGCACTGTTTGTAACAGTTGAAACATATGACCATGTAAAAGTCAAATAAAATCCCAGTTGGGAAACTAGTTAAGCAAATTATGCTGGATCTGTAGAAGAAAACATTGAGAAGCTATTAATAAAAATAGGATAGATCTGTTTGTACTAACATGGAAGAATGCCTAAAATCTATAAGTGGAATAAAGTAAATCACAGAACAATATGAATAGTATGATTCCATTTTTATTTGTATTTCTTTATATATTTGTTATTAAATGTATGCTTAGAACAAATCTGGAAGCATACATAATAAGCAGTTAACTGTGGTTATGTCTGGATATGGGGTTACCACATCTTGGCTATTCACTTTCTGTTGAAAAATTCTGTATGCCTGAAGTGTTATTATGTTGAGCACATATTACTTTGATAGTAGGGGAAATAATTTCAAAAGATTTTTAAAGATAAAATTGGTAAGAGCTCTACCGAGGACAAGTAGTGAAAGATCACTCAGATGGTCTAGGATGTAACAAGCTGCCAGCTTCCCCTGTTCTCCAAGGAAAACAAATGGGAAGGAGGCAGCAAAGGACAATAACTGATTTGGCATTGGATTCAAAGTTAAGAAATATGATAGAAAAAGACTCTGAGACTACACTGGACATGTCTACAGAAATGAGGTGGCAAAGAAACCTCACAAAGCACTCCCTGTCCTTTGCTGAGTGGTTGTGTTCAGGAATGGTAACTGTCCCAGCCATGGTAAATCTGTATCACACTAACAATGAAATAGCTACCATGGTTATGACGGGCCAGGCACCTCTCTAAATACTTTACATATATTCATGTTTGGTCCTCATAACAGCCCTATGGGATGGTTACTATCACTATCCTCATTTCTTTAGATAGGAAACAAAGGCCTGGAAAGGTTATATAAGTAGCTCAAGATTACCCAGCCTTTAAGTGGCAGACCTAGGCTTGTAAGTCTGGCAGCCTGGTTCTAGAGATCCAAGTGCTTACTCTGTCTGAAAGGACCAAGTCAGATAAAGGTCAGTATATGCGCGTCTCTCTCTCTCTCTCTCTCTCTTTTGTTTTACCAAGAATTCTAGTTCTAAGTTGATTTGTGCATATCTGAACTATAGCACGTGGCATGCCCTAAGGCTCTCAATAATACGTATTGAATGAATGAATGAATGAATGAATGACTTTTCTGTTAGAGAATAATCTGAGCCCCTTGGAGGAGTGATTTTTGCATTCCTTTTTTCATCACCTAGTAGCATGTCCAACATGCGGTAAGCAATATAAATTTCAGTATTCTATAAATATGTTGAAAAATTGTAAAGAAATCTAACTTTATAAACTGATCCCAAGTACACTGGTATAGCTTATGAATAATATGATGAATTTCTTGTGAGGAAGAGCCCTAGAGGGACAGGGCTAAATTTGGACATACCTGCATAACCAATTATACATAAGTGTAGAATATTATTTGCATGGAAAGTGGCAATAATGCTGAAGAGATGCAGGATATCAAATTATTTGAGCCTCTCTCTCTGTCACCTCTATTAGTTTCATAAATGGGGATAATAATATATGTCTCCAGTTATTGTGAGTCCAAGGATTAAATGACATGGAAATGGCTTAACTAAGTTCCCAGAACATAAGTATTGCTCAGTAAATGTTACCTGTTATAAGTGTGTCCACATATTGTAAGTGTGACCTGACTTCTTAATGTAGAATAACTATAAATTTGACAGCTAACATAATTTACAACAGCTGGGAGCTCATATACATAACATCCTTTGAAATTATCTAGTAGGGGCTCAGCCTAAGCAAATGGTAAAAGTAGTCTTCTGCCTTCTCTTCCCTTCCAACATAGTACACTTACTCCCTTCAAGCAGCTCGTCCAGTCATGGAGCTTTGAATTCTCTCTCTAAGCCGACAACTCCACATTTATATCACCAGCATAGCCCTCTCTCCTGAGCTCCAATTTTCATTTCTAACTGCTTACTTGGTTTCCTCACTTAACCATCTAATATATGTCTCAACAAGTTCAATACCAAACTCCTGATTTCTTCTGTTGTACTACCTCCCACTTTCTCTTCTCTCTGTTTCTTTAGATGGGTTAAAACCATTTGACTTCCTAGACTTAAACTCTCAGCCTTGGAAGTAGGAAGCAAATTCTCCCCCGTCTTCATTGCTCAGGAAACCGAGATGCTGGTGACTAGATTAGAAATGAGCAGGTGGAGGGAGGAGAGCAGTGTGGAGGAAATGAAACTGGGTGAAGTGTGTGGGTAACTCTCCGTGAGTACTGAGGTAATGAGGTCCAAAGAGGAAGGGAAATTGCCAGACTGCTATAGTTAGAAGTAATATGATGAAATTGAAACCAGAAAAACTAAGAGCACAAGTTTTAATCAACCACAATGTCAAGAAAGAAGTGGACCAAACCCTTCTAAAATGGATTCATAAAGTGAAAAAACAAGGGTTGCCTCAAGTAAGCCAGTGCTTCTTTAAAAAAGAAAAATAAAAAAAGATTTTACTTGTTTATAGAGAGAGTGGAAGGGAGGGAGGAAGAGGGAGAGAAGCATCAACATGCAAGAGAAGCATCCATTGGTTGCCTCTTGCACACCTCCAACCAGGGGCCTGGCTCACAACCCAGGCACATGCCCTGACTTGAAATTGAACTAGCAACCTTTTGGTTCTCAGGATGATGTTCAACCCACTGGGCCACACCAGCCAGGCCAGCCAGTGCTTCTTAACTGATAGCCTGGAACTCAGTGTTTCCTTTACTTGGGAAATTTATTTTTAAAAGCATAAAGAGCCCTGGCTACTGTGGCTCAGTTGGTTAGGCATCATCCTGCAAACCAAAAGGTCATGGGTTTGTTTCCCAGTTAGGGTACATGCCTGGGCTGTGGGGTCAGTCCCCAGTCCAGACATGTGCAAAGAGGCAACCTATTGATGTTTCTCTCTCACATTGATGTTTCTCTCCCTCTGTTTCTCCCTCCCTTTCCCCTTCTTTCCCCTCTCTCTGGAATAAAATAAAAAAAAATTCAAGCATAAAGAAAGTACATTTAACCACTTGAGGATCTGTACCCATATCCTCTGCCTTCCTGTGTGCTACTACTTAAGGATGAACTACCCAGGCATTTATGGAAAGCCAGTCTTTTCACTTTTGCACTGATCTCATCCAGTTTCAAATAGTAACTCCAGCAATTG